ATATATATTGACCAATTTTATCCTTTTCAAAATAAATCATGTGAGAAAGCAATGTTCATACCCAACAAAAATTTATTAGTCTGATGATGAAACATGTAAGAGCCCACCACTAACCTGTACAAAAAGTTAAAGAATAAATAGGTATGGTTATGAATAGATTCACACCTTGACCTAGTTCTACTCATTACAGATGCATGAATATAGTTCCTTTGATCTTTTACATTCCTTACAAGCTACGTTGTTAATTAGCAACTATCATTGACAAAGATAAAAAAAGTCAGCTTTTTTAAAGTACAAGGATAACCATCTGTACAAATGTTAACCAATATAAAAACTGAATACAGTACGTGCAAATGACTGGTTGAAAATATGGGTTAGCTATGTCCGGTACAAAACATCACCACTATTAGACTATATACGAGTCAAAGTGTGGGTCACAGATCTCCACTAATGCAAATATTAACCATTTGACAGAAATGTGTATTATCATAATTCTTAACTCTGTAAACTTATGTTTGAACATGATAATTATAAAAACAAATTTGTTATAATGTAACTGAAATGTCTGTGGCTGAAACTATTTAAATATTTTCTTAACTAAAAATATTACAGTATCACATGTGGGCTTAATTTTATTCAAAATATCTAATCAGTAAAGAAAATATTTAAATGCAAAATAAGGAAGCACTGATGTTTCTTCATAGCCAGTTTTTATACAATATAGATCTGTATTCAGTGAATACAACTTTACATTGTAGAAATTAGATTAACTCCTTTTCAATAGTAACGATACTGCAATTCATGAACCACTGAAGTTAACTAAACCAGACATATCTGATTTTTCTTCTTTCTCAACATAATCCATCACAGATTTCTACATCAGAATATTGTATTAACAACCCTACTTTTAGTTATCTGTAACGAGCAATGTTAACATTAGCATATCTCCTACATTGGAATGTGATTAACCCATTGTTTACTTCACATTTCTATTGATAATTGAGCTTTCAAGATCTATATATGTATTGAAAAGTAACATTTTATTCATAAAGTAAAAATAAGAAGATCCCATTTCTAGCTATTTCAAGAACAACAGAGTTTGGTACGATTGTAAGATCCAGCAGTGCTATTTACTACAACCAATATATAGTTAAACATTTTGTTTAAATTATAACACCTATTAGTCACGTAAGAATGGCTAAATGCTAAAGAGTAATCTTCTTAACTTTGCTTCTAATTTCAATTAAATCACAATGATTTGGACGAAAAAAAATATGTTTCGTTTAAGAATGAAGAATATTTACACATTCATAAATATTTTTTTTAGTGTTTATATTAAAGAAATTTAAGGGCATAATGGTCTATTACACATTTACCATCAATGAAATAAGTTTCTGTACTTCAAATATTAAAACAAATGATGTAATTGCATTTGAAGAATTAAGTCTTAAAATTGTAAGGTATTTTTAAAATACAGTAAAGAATTATATTACTTTAGTATTTAGGCCACTGAAGAGGTACCTACATTTTGTTTTTCTTACTAAAAGGCATTTGAGTTTAAATATGTAATTTCACGTTCACACTAGTTATTGTCTTAGTGCTTTTATTATTTTATTGGTGCTCTCTTTAAGGACTTGCAGACAACTTTACCACGTCTTGTCACGACCGGATTGTTCTGCCACTCGGCTATACAGTCAGGTGAAGTTTTTAAGTCAGCCTAATACACAAAAATAATACTGGCTTCAATAGTAAAAGGACATAATTGAATAATAAAAATTACAAAAAAGACAGCCTTTTATCACTTTCAAAGTATAATTATCTAACTACTTTTCACATCTGTGGTCCATCACACCCAAAACTAAAGAGAATATGAAATATAAATTGTTTTCTAAACATCTTTATGTTTAACATATAAGAGTTTAAAGTTTAACTGTAATACACTGTTCACTGCCAATGAGGTCCATACGTTGCATCGTATTGAGTAATTTGATGTTTTTACTTGTCGTAACACTTGATGTAAAGAACTTTCCAGAAAAATGGGAGTAAAATATCTTCTGTTTCTATGAAAAATACTGAGGAAACCCCAGCAATGACTGGGATTAACTGCAATGCTAATAGAATTTCTGTTTTTTACACATATATTTGGTGCTTGTATAGTAAAAACAGTATAGCAAAATTTGTTCAAAAATCAGATGAGTTGGTTCACACACTGTTGGTTAAACTACAAAAATCTAACTTGGCATTTATATTAATATCAATCACTTGTATAAAAGATATTAATTACTAACTACTTAATTGTATTAAGTGGAGCTTCCTTTAGGTTTTAAGGCTTACAAACTAGATTAAATACCATCACACAATGGACCTATATAAATTATTAAGACTTATATTCATCTCTTTCTTTTTTCATTTCTATTATCTATATCTTAGAACCAATGGTAGATTACAGAAATAATTTTCTCTCATTGATAACTCTACATACTTTGTTTGATTACTTCCTTTACAATGAATGGTTAGTACACGTAATTCATGACCTTAGGACAATCATTCTTATAACACTTTTCTATGCTCGAACATGAAGAATTAGGCTAACTACCTAAAATTAATAGATTTTCCCTAATACATACTTGTTTATGTAAAGTAGATTTATTACATTAGAACCAGAATAAACTAACTGTGGTTTTATAGTTAGGTAAAATAGTTTAACCTAGTATGATTATCTTTTCATGCTTTTTTCCAGCATTAAGTTTCTTTTATAGTGTTAACACTATACAAGTAATTAATATAACCTCCAATGTCAAGTTAATACAAGTTTAATGAGATGAACTGAATAAATAAGTTGTTTATTCAGTCTTCCTTTTTCTTATGTTTAAAATTAAATGTGTACATTAAATGTTTCAGTTATAAGTGGAAGACTTGCACAATGAAAATACAAAAACAGCACACATAATTGTTTCTATGAAACATAAAAGTAAAATTATTTTTAAAATTTTCTCAATAGTTTTTCATTACACAAGTTTAAATCGGAAACAACTAATTAATCAATTACACAAATAACTTTCTATTATCCCACATATAAACTATTTTGTATATTGAGAAAAAAAAACTAGCTTTATCTAAAATATACATTTATAATTAGTGATTCTAACCTGTAGTTTCTCCCAGATTTTCTTTTTAGGGTTAAGTTGTTCATCTGGTTGAATGCTAGGAATATCATATCCTTCTACATAAACTTTGTCTCCAGGATTACTGTCTAATGGTACTTGTAGTGGCTCCACCTGTCTTGGCTCTTCTCTGGAATGATTGATTTGTTAAAAGATAATCATGAACTTAGTTTTTAAAGTTTCTGAGCAATTTTAATTATCACAAAATATACTAGTTTTGAAGTAATGAACTAGCAGTGATGAAAAAAGTTTTATATTGAATTAACTTGAATGTAAAAAAACTAGCTCATAATTTAATTTTTTCTTTGTAAAAATTCTAAATAAACTATTAATTAAGATGTTTCTGTTGTCACCCACAGCAAGTTCTCATTATCACTTACATGATTTCACAACCAGTTGGACCTTACATCTTAATTCTCAAAGGAATTTTACTGAGCTAATTTAAAGAGTCCATCAGTAGTGAAAAAGTGTTAAAATAATATTTGTGTTTGGAAAAGATGCTGATATGCACGAGTTTAGGAGGGTGTTTATATTTTTCTGAAATGTTAAGTATTGTCAGTCCTACTCTAAAGGTTGAAAATATGGATTCTCTCCGCTACATAAAAAGAAAACTAAAGAGAAAGTACTACAATGTGCAAAGAGAAAAGATAACTTATGGACATATGTAGGAAATGGAAGATGTGCTACTTAGGGCATATAATTAGATTTCATATATGTTTGGCAGAGAATGGGTAAAATCAAATGAAGAAGAGCAAGAGGCAAGCAGAGACTCGTATGGCTTGTCGACATTACAAAATGGATTGGACATGAGAAGCTTGAATTAGGAGAGCTAATGCAGGAAGCATGGAATAGAAAACAAGAAAACCACAGTTATTGACCTTCAGAACTTGTGAGAACATCGTGATGGATTTATTAAAAGTTTCCAAGAGACAAAACCCTTTCAGTTTAGTTTCTATCCTCCATTTTAGTTTACTATACTGAGATACATTGTGAAAAAAATTACAGTTCTTAGCATCAAGCATATACATTTTTAAGTTCTCTTTATGTATTTTTAAATTTGCCCTTTATTTAATGCTTCTAGAAATATAAAATGCAATATACATATATATATATATTGTATATATACAAATATATATTCTGTCAGATATATCAACTGATAATGTTTTTTGGGGGGTGGGTGGCAATTAGGATAGAGTTAATAATGCAAAATTAAGCACTTTAACTTATATCAGTGTATTGTATTTCTTCACTTAAAAAAAGAAAGGGGGCATGCAAGAAACCATATTTATTAATGAGGGAGTGCAAGAACAGCAAATGTTTGGAAAATGCTGACATAATCAATAACCTTTGAATAAAACTATGTCTACATATCAAATAACATTATTGTTAAACCTATCAAATTTGTTTTGCATAAAATTGTACTAGTTTTCGTGTTTTCTGCTATTTTTTCATATATTTTAGTTAAAAGTTGAAGGTATTTTAATATCATATGTAATTTATCTGTCAAAAACATTTTTTTTTATACATCTGTTGGACAAAAACAGATCTGGAATATATGTTACAATAAAATATTCTCTATTTTTCTGGACAATTGCACAATTTAAATTAAATCCCATTCATTTACATTCCTCATTTTTGTGTGTATCATAAAACAGTACATAGAAGTAGTTTTATGTTATAATATTAAAATAGTTTCATACACCAACACCAGATGGCTGTCTAATGACAACTTGCAGTCAAAATTACCAATAATGTTTTGTTATCATTCCATATTATAATAATTTTGATGTAATTTTGTTTATGGTATCTCTACATATAAGACAGAAGTAATTTACAAAATGTATAGAGTAATATTAAGAAGAGAGTGATGCAAAAATTATTTTTTTTTAATATAAATTGAGCATTTTCAAAATTTTCATCTTTATTCTATAATGGTCTAGCAGTGTATCAAATGAAATGAACACTTGTTTTAATGTTAAAAAAGTTATAAAGAACCTACACGAGATAATGAGTTTTAATGTTAATTTTTAGTTCTTGTGATATTTTTGTTAAAATTCTGCAATGTGACTTCTTCAGGAAGGCGAGGAGGGGAAACAAATACTTACACAGAAGCACACAGAATCATTCCACGAGATTCTATGCCTCTCATTTTAGCTGGTTTCAAGTTGCAGAGAACTACTACTAAACGACCAATAAGGTCGTCAGCCGGAATTAGTTTAGCCAGCCCACTGATTATAGTCCGAGGGCCAGCTTCATCTCCAACATCAACTTGAGACACATACAAACTATCTGCATCGGGATGCTACACAGAGAAAAGAATGATAACAATGATGAGTTTCATACCTTACCGACAATAATATATACATATATTCTACTAAATATAATGCTGAATAATTCACAGGAAATTCTAGACCTAATGATGCAATCAATACTAGTTAAATAAAACTAATTATGAGAGCCAAATATAATGCTTATTATGTAGTTTTAGCATAATACAAGTGACTAATATAACCTTCAATGTGCAGTTAATACAATATGATAATGAGATACACTAGTAGCGATTTCTTCAGTTTATCACACAAACTTTTATCTGCAGGATTTTTTTTTATCTATTTCATAACTGAAAAATATTTTAAATACTCCTTATTTATAACACCATTTTTTTAAAGAAAAACAATATAAAAAACTTTTTGCATTAAACTAAATAATTAATGTAATAAAAATACATTACGGTATGTATATTTGTGTTACGTCACAGTTTGTAGATTTCATGAGCAACACCTGTATAAGAATTTGCACTAAATACTGCTTGATCTAATGTGGTTATATTTATAAGTCCAACATTTGTGAAAATAGTTCATCTAAGTAGTAGATGTGTAGGTTTCTGAATAATTACTCAAGTTCTGGAATTTAACTGTTTAAAATCATGATACAAGCATCATGCAGGGAAGCTAATTAAAATGAAAAAAAAGGTATGTATGTGTCCAAAATATATTGTGTGTCTAAGTCTACAAAATAATATATATTTAAAACAATAGAAAAATGGGGTATAATGTATAATGATAAATCACGGTCTAGTTTTCACAAAAGAGGCACGCCAGGTATTTTTCAACACATGATAATCACATCGTAGACTTTTATACATTAATAAACTGCATACCAATATGAATTCTCACCATTTGGACATCTGTTATCTTTCCCACTCTCAAGTCTAATCTAACAGGAGAAATTTCATCGTCTGTGTTAACTTTTCCTCCTAAAAAACAAAACAAAAACTGTGATTATGTGAAACTTAAATACTGACATGAAAGTAACACACTATGCATTTTAGTGAGGTAAACACTCCAACCTAAGATACAGCTTCTAAAGTGGTGACATTTTATAATAAAAATTGTAAAGCTTCACAACAATCTTTTACAGTTTTTAAAGATACAATTTTTTGTTAGATTTATAGGCCTAGCTAACCATCTACTAATGAAGATAACATGTTCTCAACCAGTGGTATTTCAACAGTGTAATACTGGTTTCTTTTGTTTCTAGAGTTTTTCTCTTCACAAGTTATACTAGTGTATTATCTCGATCAATCTCCATACAATAAAGAATTGACATAACATAAGACATCTAGAAGCTTCTATCTCAAATGCTACATGGTGAATAAAAATTGATACTGTCATGATAACCTTCACTGTTATTTTTTAAAACTATTATTAAGTTCCAAAATTTGTACATTTGGTCTACTTAACTTTAATTTATGATGTAATTAGCCATATTATAGTTACGTGGATTTCTCTGGTAGTTATTGTACCTTAAAATTTCACATTCTTAAGCAAAGCCTACAACATAGAAGCCAGAATGACAAGAGGAGAAAATTACCATAAAGACCTATAAAACATTCCAACCTCATAAACTGCAAACTGAGTTTAGGTTTTTTTTTGTTTATAGTTGAAAATGGAAAGCAAGAAAAAGAACAACAAAGTCCACTTATTTTAACTGTATGTAAAAGGACTTAAAAATAATTTAGCAAAGTTAGATGAGTTATTCAGCAGTGACTGACCAAGTCTGCTCCTTACACTTAGCTATAACTATGGCAAATGGTGTAGTTTCAAATTTTATATCTAAAGCATGAAATTTTTTGAAGCAAAATTAAAAACAAACTTATTGTGGAACAAATAAATAAAAATTAACATTATTTTTTAAAGCCACAAAGTTACCAAGAAATGAGCATCTACATATTTGATGTTAAATGTGCAACAGTGATCAAGGCAGGGGCTATATCACTTGAGAGAAACTCAAAACATGTGGTAAAGGAGATGAATCATTTGCTCTTGGAGGATTCTAAGAATCTATTTCTTCAATAAAATGATGTAAAGAAGAAAATCATTTTGTACCTTGCTACTGCCATACCTACCTTAAAAATAATTAGTTTAAGAATCTCTTAACATAAAAAAATAATAATTATCATACATAATATAATTCTATTAACAATCTTTAGTTGTAACAAGTTACAATATACCCAACCTTTTTCAAGATGAGAAAAAATTCTTCCTGTACAAATATTTGTTTAATTTTATTTGCCTATTTTTTCTATACGTGGAAGAAAGTTGTGAGGTTGATTATAGGTATATCTTTTTAGACTATTACTTCAAGACAGAATTACCTATTAGTTCTTTTCTTAATTCTTACACGGACTTAAAAATTCCTGTTAGAGGTTTGGTTTTCGCATTAAAATAATAAAATCTCCATAACACAAGTAAAGAAAAGAAAGATTTTCCATTAATTATAAAAAAAAATTAAGTAAAAACAATTTGAAAATTAACCCAGCCTTGTCCAGAGATTTCAATACATCTGCCATATTATAGTAGTTGTAATGACCACTAATATGGTGAAGTATTATGTTTAAATTACTTAAGTATTCTATTTTTAATCTCAATATAAAAACAAGTTTTGCTACAATTCAAAGTCCATTACATAGGAACAACACTTGTGGGAACTGTAATTACTTAATGGGAATTTACTCTGACACATAGTTGTGTTTATAAATTAACAACAAAACAATTCTTAAAACTATTATGCTTATCAATAAAGAGATATGTCTGTTTTCTAAACAAAATTCTAGGTAACAAAAATGTATCAGGATTAGTTTTCTACGAATGGCTTATTCTTTGATTTTTGAAGAGGAAAGATGTTTTGATCTCTTGATTCGAGATCATTACAAAAAAACATAACCATGCTAGGTATTTATAATGTACTCAGTTCAAAAGGTGTTACCATGCTAGGTATTTATAATGTACTCAGTTCAAAAGGTGTTACAATGCTAGGTATTTATAATGTACTCAGTTCAAAAGGTGTTACCATGCTAGGTATTTATAATGTACTCAGTTCAATAGGTGTTACAATACTAGGTATTTATAATGTACTCCGTTCAAAAGGTGTTATCATGCTAGGTATTTATAATGTACTCAGTTCAAAAGGTGTTACCATGCTAGGTATTTATAATGTACTCAGTTCAATAGGTGTTACCATGCTAGGTATTTATACTGTACTCAGTTCAAAAGGTGTTATCATGCTAGGTATTTATAATGTACTCAGTTCAAAAGGTGTTACCATGCTAGGTATTTATAATCTACTCAGTTCAAAAGGTGTTACCATGCTAGGTATTTATAATGTACTCAGTTCAAAAGGTGTTACCATGCTAGGTATTTATAATGTACTCAGTTCAAAAGGTGTTTGAAAAGTAGAGCTGGGTGATTTTTGAAATTTGCTAATCAATTAATTGTTAATTGTTGGGCACATTAACTGATTACATTCAACTAATAAATTATTCTTGCATGAGACTTGGATAATTGGAATAAACAAAAATACTAATTTTAATTAATTGATTATTTTCATGAATTGTGACATTAATATATTAAGCTGAAAAACTTTGAATTAATCAACAATAATTATGAGAAATCATAATGACAATATTTGGATTACATGGATAATTGAAATAACTGAAAACACTAGTTGTGATTACTTGATTACTTGTCAATACTCATAGGTAACTAATTATACAGATTAACTGAGTTAAGCTTTCAGCTCTATTGATTATTTACTCCTTTACATAATGTAATTGATTAAATGAATCCGTACTGCTTAACCTAAACATCAAAAACTATAACAATCTCATTTCTTAAATGGTTAAGAAATATATTAATAACAAACATAAAACCTTCTCACCTTTTGTTGAAGCATCTGATCCCACCAACCAGAGGAAATAGGAAAAAGAGTAAAGGTTAATGGTTAATAAGATCATCAGCCTGAGATTAGTTAGAGGTTTGGTTTTCCCATTAAAATAATAAAATCTCCATAGCACCACCAATTATTAAAAACACCTTGTATCTTCATAGAAAATTAGGAATAAATTAATTCACATAAAGAAACAAAAGATTTTCTGTTAATTATTTAAAAAAATTAAATAAAAAATGGTAGTTCAAAATTTTAATGTTATAAGTTCCACAAAATATTCCTATTATAACTTTTGCTTTGTTAAGTACAATCATGTCGTGAACCTGAAATTGTTTATTTAAAAACAATTTTCACTTTTACCTCAAGTTGAATACAAATTATTCAATGGATAAAAGTTTAACTTGATAAGACAAATAAGTATGACATACCCTAAACAAAAATATTTAAACAGACTGATGCAAGGATGTAACATGGTACAGAAAATAATGAAACTAAAAATGAGATGGTCTATTGTATATATTCAACATTTATTTAAGCAATCTTCTGGCTACACTATTCTTTAAAAATAATTATCAAGTAAGTATAAGTAATGGTCTGATGTTAGCTGTTTTTTTTTTTAACTGTAACCAATCCCTTATCTGTTTATCTAACAACAGTTTCAGGTAACCAAAAGTTTCCACAAAAGACAAATTATCTACAGTGTGTGTAATTCCTTTTACAGGATTTTTAACCAAGTTCAAGTGAACTATGAACAGTATTTTTTTAACGAGAGATAGAAAAAAAAACACAATGTTTGGTACATAATGTATTTTTATATTATTTTGACAAAGGAACAAAGGTATAAAAACAAACCACAACATTAGATTTAAATTAAAATGATTATGAAATGTTTTATGACTAATCTATCTTTTCATTAATTATGTTTTGCTTAAAATTCAATCAGTTTTTCAGAATTTGTTATTAAAGTCTATCAAGCCCACTTACTCTTGCCTAAAACGGGGTAAGCAGTAGCTGCCAGTTTCTTCAGTTTAGGATCCTCAAATGTTTTACGAATGGGTTCCAGAAGTCGATTGAGGTACTTCTCCACTGCAATTTTAAGATCACCCGGATGAAGTTTCTAAAATGGGAAAAAATCCTTACTTTAAGGCCAGGTTTAAAAATACTTCTGTTTGCTGTAACCCAACTGACTGAGAGATTTTTCTGACATTATGAAAATATTTATTTTCAACAATTTCTGCTGATATACTGACCCATCCAACATAATTTGCCGACTTGAAAATTGGTTAGGATATTGTTAAATATACATGACTGTTTTAATTTAAGTAAAGCCTGAGTGTTAAATTTAGTTATTTTTATAAGTGATAGTTTATCATAGGTTTGTTTACGTAACTGTGCAAACCATATGTTGTGTAGTTCAATTGTTGTATTATTGTTTTAGAACCTTCTAAGTTTTTCCTACCACTACAGGTTGGGTGGGATCCATGCAGCTTGTAACCACAAAAGTATCCATGAGAGTAAGTATATCATGATTTTTAATATTTGCATATCTTTAAAACATTTTGCTGATTATTATTAAACATTAGTAGGCTTGTGTATACAAAATATCACATTTTTTTCTTAATTTTTAAGATTTCTTAAGTACTCTTTTCCTTTTAAATGTTGACATGGAAAATAATTTTGATTTTAAGATTAAAAATACTTTTATGCATCAGAACATTTTCAAATTTCACATGCAAAACCTTTATAATAGCCTCCAGATAATTATCAAATGTTTTTTAAGAAAAAACATTTATCTGTTATTTTCACTACTGTGTCTCTGTACGGGTTGGGTCAATTTGACTGATCTCGTAACCACCATAAAAAATTAGGAAGTAAATATAAATTATGCTTTTTTCGTTCTAGAATGACTATAAATTATAACTCGAACACACAAATGCTTAATCTAAATAGCTTAAATCCCATAACAGTATACATTTATATATATATTTATTATTTTTATTATATTGATCTTTCAGTCATGCCTGGCTAACATTACAGAGTTGCAATGACACAGAGCACTCATGTTACCACATCCAAGAATATGAAATTGCCCTTTTCAAAGTGACCTGTCTTGGCTGTAATTTATTGGACTAGTATTTTTGTAAAATACAATCACATTTCCATTATAATACATCATATATGTATATACATTATTACTATTTAGAAATAAGTTCTTAAACTTATTTTTCTTATAACATAGAACAGTAACTAAAGAAGTAAAGCAAACAATTATCTCTTTTAGATATGAACTTTGTACTCATTTGCTGCTTGCCATGGGCTGCTAAGCCTTATCAAATCACGTGGAGGATGCGAAATGAAGTAATTTTTTTTGAGGTTTTACATATATTTTTTGAAATAACCAAAAATCATAAATTACTATATTAATACCATAGAATTCCACTATAATTTATCAAGCTTAGTAGCTAAGCTGTATTTGGGTCTAAAAAAATATTAAATTTGAGCTCACTAACGTCTTACCTCATCACTTGAAATCTGCCATGAAAAGAAAGTTTCCCAAGTAAATACTTTGCAAGGGCTCAGAGAACCAAATGGTGGACAACATTCAGAGTTTTTGATTAGTTATTCACATGTCATAGACAGAAGTATATGTATGTGAGTGTTTCCAAAAATGGAAAGAGGTGGGTGGGGCCACTGTGTTTGATTCATCACATTCATAGACTTGCATCAAAAATTTTATTGATCTACTATTTTATGAATGTATGTCAATAAGTTTGGTATCACACTGTAGATTATAGTTAAAATATTTGTATCATGCATTAATTAATTTTGTGATTTAAAAGTAAGTATGAAAACAATTTTTTAATATTGATGTTTGTGTCAAATGGTATGTTGAATACAGCTTTTGTTCAAATTAGATGTTTGTGATGTCCAAATACAAGGTCTGTAATTTCTTACGTATTAGAAACTCAAATTACCGATATTGACAAGCTAGAATATAAAACAAGAGCTTCTTATCTTTTCTATTTGCCGAGATATCACTACATTTAGTGAACCAAACACAGTGAGACCCACCCACCTCTTTCATTTTTTGGAAATACTTGCTAAAATACATCTACTTCTGTCTATGATTTGTGAATAATCAATCGAAAGCCCAGAATGTCTCCCATGTAGTTTTTTCAGCACCTAGAAGGTGGTAAGTTCCCAATATTATTTCTTTGTCTCAAATCTCAGAAGGAAGGGGTAAGTGAAAATGCTGCTCAAAAAACAATATTTTTTTTACCAAAACAGAGTTTAGTTAGTAAGCCTGATAAATTACAGTGGAATTCTGCGATATGGATAGGGGAATTTATAATATTTGGTTATATCAAAATTCATATATAAAAGCTAAAAAAATTATTTTGTTTTACATCCTCCACGTGAAGATATGCATACTGTATTAAAAGTTGTATAATGAAAACTATAAGATGCACAAAATGGTTTACAAGGTCAATCCTTGAGACCAAGCCCGTAGTAAGAGATTTAATATACAATAGGTAACCTAAAAGCATGTCATGGTTCAACACAATAGATATTAATCAAACATTATGTGGAGAATGACGTTTAGATTCATATTAATGACAAAAAGAACTTTTGATTAATCTATCATCCAGCTACTTTCAGTTGTATTAGGAAAATAATTTACTGTAATACAGGAATCCATCCATTTCTGTCAACCTAAAGATAATATCAAAATAATGACATTAGAATTGAACTATAAATATATTTAAGCACAAATATCATACCCATAAAATACATTAATTACCAGAGAGAGAGAGAGAGAAGAAAAAAGAACAAAAAATGGAACAGCAAAAAACAAAACAACAGGTTTTAGTTTATAAGAATTCCATGCAAACAGTAAGTTCTTTCTTTTTTTAACAGTAATTTTGATGATTTTTTATAGTTTACCAATCTACATGTTATTCTTTGTAATATTAATATTTTCCATGCAGTTAGGGGTTGGAGCACATCATTACATTTTGTGGATTTTAATAAAATTTTGAATGTAACTATTATTTTATGAATGTCCATAAATTTGGAATCAAATTGTATTATATGATTCAAATTTCAGCATTATACATTACTTAACTTCTTAATTTAAAAGTAAATATTAGAAAAAATGGCTAAATATTGATTTGTTTGTGTGTCACATGGTACATCGTCTCCAACTTTTGCTTATATTGTGTTGAGAGTGTCATGAAATGTAGTCTATAGTTTTTAATGAATTAGAAACACAAATTATCAATATTGACAAGCTGTAATATAAAATAAAAACCTCCTATCTTTTCTAGTTGCTGAGATACTTGTTTACCTATGCCTACTTTTCTTAAGTAAATGTTTATAACCAATTTAAAGTGCTCATTTTGACCTACATAAACCTGTCAATCCGCCTAAATTACTTATGTAGGTAAAGCTGTTGTAACCACTGGAGAGTCTGAAGAGTATTGATCAAGGCAATATTATGATCAGAAACAAGATTTTTTTAGACTCAGATACAGCTTAGTTAGAAAGACTGATACATTACAGTGGATTTTTGTGGTATCAATATAGTAATTTATAATTTTTTTTGTTATTATAAAATGTGTATATAAAACCAAATTTTTTTTCGTTATGTTTTGCACGTGCAAAATTTGATGTGGCTTAGCACGTATGATGATCAAGTAGAAAACTTTGTAACAACGTAAGTAGTAGTAGAGATCATTGTTTTCTATAGAATTTTTATTTACTGTTCTATGTTTTAAGAAAAATAACTGAAATATAAGAAGTTATTTGTAAACAATAATATACATACACATGTAATGTATGGTAGCTGAAATATCACTATTTTATAAAATCCTGGTACGCTAGTACTAAGACTAAAAAGAGTAAGACATCTGTACTTTGCTATTTGATACAGTAATGTGATCTACACATTCGCCACGTGACTTACAACTTGTATGGTGGGATTATTATTTAAACATGTTTCAAAGGAAAATAAAACAAATAATTAATAAACATAAATAGATGTATACTGTTACAAGATTTTAGCTATTTATGATAAACAATTGTTGTTTCCTGTTACAATTTGCAGTCATTCTAGAAAGAAAAAAAGGTCATTTAGGTTTACTTCATATTTTTTTTATGGTGGTTACAAGATCAGTCAAATCACCTGAGTCCACATAGAGTTAGGGTAGAAAAATAAAGAGATAAAATATACAATTTTTCAAAAACATTTGATATTTATTTAGAAATTTATAGATTACACATATGAAATTTGACAAATTTGAGATGAAGAAAAGTATTTTTAATCTTGAAATCAAAATTACCATGTATGTATAGTCAACATTCTGAAAGCAAACATTCACAAGCATGTCTTTAATTAAATTTACTTAAATTAAATAAAAACTGATATTTTGTGTACAAAAGCTTTGTAGTATTTACTAATAGTCTGCAAAATTTCATGAAGATGTGCATACATTATCAAAAGGTATAGTATGACTAATCTCATGGTTATGTGGTAGATGCAATGCACCTAGCCCTGTAGTCAAAGAGTTAACAAATTAAAAACTCTTTGAAAATGCTGATGTTAACTTAGCAACACATAACAGCAATAAGAAACCCTATAACTTAGAGGAGAATAGTTAATAAAAGTAGCACTTACTAACTCAGTGAAGTCTTTTTCTAAGGACTCGTAATCTTTGTAGGACACGTTTCCTCCATTATTGGGATTTCTTTCAACAACAAAATCTGTAGAAAATATATACGAAGCAAGATCAGTAAAATTTAGGTCTTTTACAAATCTATGGTTTCGCAAAAAAAACAAAAATTGTATTTATGTAATTTTCTAGAAGCTTGCAACAGAAGAAACCAAAGATAAAAATCTGCATTTTACTTATATTATCTACAAAATATTTCACTTTCTACAAAAACTAATAAAAAATGCCAAAAAAACCAAGCACAAACACACCTTCATCTTTGAATACAGAGAAAATAACATGATGTACAAAAGCTAAAACACCATTTTCTTCTTTGTTGCCAGGTTCACAGAATGCTTTCTTTAATTTCTTTTTAACTGTAGCTTGAGTGTCAAGCAAGTCAATCTTTGAGTCTTCTTCTGATGCACTCATCTTACCTCCTGTCAATCCTGGAACTGATAGAGAAGTTGCATATAAAACAACATAGCTTCAGTATTGAAATACAGGTTATGTTTTGACAGGCAGCTTAACTGAAAAAATACTTAGGTAACACACAATGTTAAAATGATATATAACGTGAAGGTGATGTCATAATAGACTGGACAGTCTTATACTATTTGTTTAGTTCTGACATTTAATAATAACAATTTATTAGAAAACACGAGTAAAGCAACCGAGAAGAAATTTTCAAGAATAATGAATTTTATCTAACATTTACTTTCAAATAATTGTCTTCTCCAGTACAACATAGCCCGATGTGTGTAAAGTGCATTATTACCAAATGTAGCAGTAAAGTACTACTAGAACACTCATGACTGAACACAATTACCTTCAATAATGCAGAAAACATACAGTAATACTATAATGACTGGAAAAAAAAATTAAATAATATACAACATTAAAATGACTTGTTAATTTAGATGTTTTTATTTTTATTACTAATAAATAACTAAACTTAAAATAAATGCTTGGGAAATGTAGATGATTTGTTTTGATCAGTTTAAGGAAAGAGGATAGATATTCTGTAAGAAACAAAGTAATAAAATCAAAAGGGGAGAAATATAATTAACAAATATTAACCATCTCTTTATTTTTTATTTAAATGTTTATAAGATGTTTGTTTTTGGTTTTTTTGAATTTTGCGCAAAGCTACACGAGGGCTATCTGCGCTAGCCGTCCCTAATTTAGCAGTGTAAGACTAGAGAGAAGGCAGCCAGTCATCACCACCCACCGCCAACTCTTGGGCTAATCTTTTACCAATGAATAGTGGGATTGACCGTCACATTATAATGCCCCCACGGCTGAAAGGGCGAGCTTGTTTGGTGTGACGGGGATTCGAACCCGCGACCCTCTGATTGTGAGTCGAGCGCCCTAACCACCTGGCCATGCCGGGCCATGTTTATAAGACACTATTACATCAATTGTTCGTATACAACAATGTCTACGGTGTTTCTCAAATATTAACAACAGATACCGAGTACAAATGAAAATAATTATATTTTAATATCATTTCTAAAGTAAGCCATGTATTTTGAATCACCAGTCTAACGTATTTGAAACAAATACTCTGAGCATCTATGTAGTTGAAGTTGAATGAGATCATAAATTGTAAGCTTTTTTATTTAATGTCTTTCTGCTAAAGATTTCCATTTTATAATTAATGGTTTTATTAAGAATTTCAATAAAGATGAGTTTTAACATCCCAAGTTTATAAAAAATAGATCAGTGTAAGAGATACACGAAATTAATTTTTAAAACACTGCCACTTCACTGTAATGTAACTACAAGTCATAAACAGACACACTTCAATATTCTAACACAATAATATAAATTTTTTTTACAGAAATTCTGAAACATTATGTATGTGTGTGTATATATATATATATTAATTTTACGGATTATTGTACTTACCCATGGGGTTCATCAAGTGAATCCTCTTTGTATAACCTAGCTGTGGCAAGTACTGAAATATGTATCCCAAATTTCTATAAGTTTGTTAGTTTTAACAATTAAAATTATGATAAAAACCTTAAATTAACATATACACAGTTTCCCATCTTCTATGTAACATTTAATTCCTCAGAAAAAATTTAATGTCTATTAAATATCATACCATATAAATGTTTAAATAAAAACTGACCATTGTAAATTATCTCCAGCTACACACACTTATATACACAGCCACTTAATGAAGTTAATAAAATAAAAATAATGTCTACGTTGTTGATGTCAAGATTGAACAATTTGAATGCATGGCTATTTTTAACAAGTTAAGTATTATCATCGATGGTTTTCTTCATAACCTAGTTTTACAGTTTTTTATCAACTACAAACTCAAGATTTTGTTGTTCATAACTGTCAATATAAGAAAAATAACCTTTTCAGCAAATGTAAAAATCTTCCTTTGATCTACTCCTCCAAACTGAGCATCAACTTTAAGATATTCTTCATCCAAAGCCTGGAAACAAATATTATCAGTCTGTCAAATACCCTGATTCTATATTTTGAAAATGAATGATTAAAACTATATTTATATGCACATTACCTTAATTAATTCACTTATAATAAGCAAAGGATAAAATATCACATTAATATGTTTATAGCAGAGATGGTTTATCACTTGGGTTCTTTTGATTGATACATGTACTGGAATTCAATGACATTTCAAAAACAAAGTGAATTTTCAACTTGACATGTACCACTTTTGAGCTTATTCTATAATAAGTTAAGATTATTCAGTAGTGAAATTCTCAAAAAAAAAGTAAAGGAACTTAGCTGGGTGAAGTGGACCTGTTTTTGAAAAAGGAAAAAAAAATGTATGTGTAAACTAAAAAATGACAAGTTGAGGGTCAATGAATAAATGCTTTCGGACGGAACAATGGAATGCACGCACATCCAAAAAAAAAAGCAGCTCAAGTAAGTCCCGGTACTCAGTACTGATGATTACCAGCAGAATTTCACCTCTGAGGGAGCTAACATAAAACTAAGAAAATAAGCCATTAGATTTTAGTGTCCTTGAAAAAATTTATTGAATATTAATTTATTTTTCTTATGTATATATCAGATATATGTTTATAAAACTTAAATATTCTCATGGCTGTTTGTCAAGATGACTTTCTGTTCTTATTGTTTCTTCAATGGGAACAATAGATACTGCTACATATCTGCCCTGTCTTTAGGCAGCATTTTATACCTATTATTGGTGTGATAACTTGTTCTTCTATTTATCACTGTGGTGTGGAAATTTTGTCCATTAATATGGAAAGTTTAAAATGCTCTCTCACAGCATAAGCCTATAAATCATTTTCATTCTATTTTTACTTACCTAAGTAGACTAGCTGTGCCAAATAAGTTTAGCCAACTTTTTAAGTGGTGACAGAGATCATTAATGTTAGTTTAATTGTTTTAATCCACACCATTAAGAGTTGGTATAAATAAATATCAGATTACTCACCTGAAGCCATAGAAGTTAAAACAGCTATACAACTTTGTTCTACAACTATCGTGTTTATAACATTGTGTAGGGAATATAGCACAAAACTACACTGCAATTTTCAGATTCCCAAATAAACTAATATTTAATAATAGATTATAAAATTGTATCATACTAATGCAATCACAGAACCTTTTATATATATCTCTACAAACTGAAATTAAACAAGGTAACATCCCTGTGCATAGATGATGTACAATTATATCAAGTGTGTGTAAAGAACTAAACCAATCAATTCAACAAATAAATTTGAAACTTTTTTTAATTTCAGGAAACACTAAGTAACAACTTTGATACGAGCCTTGGACTGGTTTTTACTTTAAAGTTTAGAGGAAAAATAAGAGGGTAGTTATAAAACTCCGAATCTCTGATCACTGAGGCTTAATGCAATTTTAAAACATTACAACTCAAAATCTTGTCACCTGAAGTCCTGGATACAGAAGACTACTTATTAATGGATGATCGACTTGTTTCACCACTTCTGCTCCTGCTTTTTTAGCATCGTGTTCCGTTACCATAGACATAAGTCTGTAAACATCCTTTGTAAACTCCCTGATAACAATTGAGACTCAATATATAAAAAACATAAATTTTAAAACTAAAAAAATCACTGCTTTTATTCATTACTTTAGTATAAAGATAAATTACAATAGTTTTAATTACATTGGAAAATCAAAGTTAAAGTTAACTTTAAACATCTGTAGTATTTTAATCATTTAACAATTTTTTTCCTTGCGAAACATATCTGTCATTAAGCATGTTAAATTATATAATTAACCCTTTCTTGACGAGCTCGGTATGAAATACGAGTTTCGTATACACATTTGCACACAAAATCTGGCAGACTTTTAGTAAACATTTTCATGTTATGATTAAAAAACTATTCTATAATAAAACAGTAATATTTCTATATTAAAATCTCAAATATCATTTGTCTAATTGCTAAAACCTCCTAAATACATTTCAAACATTTGTTTTCAGTAAAATTTTATACTTTATCTGTTATTTTCTCTACCCTAACTCTATATAGGTCAATTTGACTGACCTTGTAACCACCATAAAAATTAGGAAGTAAATATAAAATATACTTTTTTCTTCTAGAATGACCTCTAATTATAACACCAAAACATTAGTCTTAATAGCATAAATCTCATAACATTATACATTTATTATTTGTATTGTAATGACCTTCCAGCCATGCTTGGCTAACATTACAGTAGTTGCAATGATATGGAGGCTGTGTACTCATGTTACCATATCCAATAATATAAAACTGACCTTTAGGCTTCACAAAGTGATCTATCTTGGCTGTGTTTTAGTGGGCTAGTATTTTGTAAAATACAGTCACATTTCAGTTATAATACATTATATATGTATATACATTATTACTATTTACAAATAAGTTCTTAACCTTATTTTTCTTATAACATAGAACAGTAAATAAAGAAGTAATGCAAACAATTATCTCTTCTAGTTATGAACTTTGTTCTCATTTGCTGCTTGTCGTAGGTTGTTAGGCCTTATCAAATTTTGCACATGGAGAATGTGAAACAAAATAACCAAAAATCATAAATAACTATATCAATACCATATAATTCCACTCTAATTTATCAAGCTGTATTTGGATCTAAAAAAATATGAAATTTCCAGCAGACTAAAGTCTTATATTATTGCTTGGAATCTAGAATGAAAAGAAAGAGTTTGCTGCCCGATTACCTCGAAAAGGCTGAGAAAGCCACTAGGAGGACATTCTGAGCTTTTGATTAGTTATTCAAGTAGGCAATTGTAAGCAAGCGTTTCCAAAAATGGAAAGAGGTTGGTGGGACAACTGTGTTTGATTCAGTAAAAGTAGCAATATCTCAGCAAATAGAAAAGATAAGAGTTTCTTATTTTATATTCTAGCTTGTCAATATCGGTAATTTAAGTTCCTAATTCGTAAGAAACTATAGACTTTGTATTTGGACATCACAAACACCTACTTTGAACCAATGCTGCATTCAACATACCATGTGACACACAAAAATCAATATTTTGGTGTTTTTTTTTTTAATACTTACTTTTAAATAAGAAATTAACTAATATATAATACTAAAATTTGAATTATAATCTACAATGTGATACCAAACTT